AAAAAAAAATCTTGATTTATTTAGACACCCTAAATATCTCAATGCATTCATTGTTTCATAATAATTTTCTATATTCAAGAAAATGAATCTGGTTTGATTATGCGTGCTATTCATGACTTGCTTCCCGCCTCATTATTGTATCTTCTTATGTTGCTGTGTACAAAATAGTTGATCAACGCTTTCTATCTATGCTGTGCATAGGTGATTTGCAACTTGGAGAGCTTGGCGCTAAATAGTGAGGATGCAGGCATGATATTACAAGGGCAGTTTTCAGGGGAACACTTCAGCAAACTCAAATTTCTTTGTTTGGCAAATTTTAAAGATGGCCATGTTATTTTTCCGTATTGGTTTCTCCAAAACGTCACCGCTCTTGACAAGCTAGTTGTTGAATGGAGTTCTTTCAAGGAGATATTCCAAGAAGAAATGCCTAAAGATCACGGAGGAAAATTTAAAACTGGAACACGACTTAAAAGTTTGACACTCGGTGATTTAGGTGAACTTCAGCATATATGTAAAGAAGGATTTCAAATAGACCCAGTTCTTGAGGATCTTGAATACTTATGGATCGATTGTTGCTCCAATTTGAAACACTTAGTGCCTTCCTCCGTAACTTTTAGTCAGTTGACATATCTGGAAGTAAAAAATTGCAATGGATTGATTCACTTGATTACCTCATCAACCGCAAGAAGTCTGGTCAAATTATCAACATTGAAAATAAAGAACTGCAATTCACTTGAGCAAATTGTGGTGGTAGAAGAGGCGGAGGGGTCTGAAGATGAAATTGCATTTGGCAGCTTACAAATTTTGGAGCTTGAGTGTCTGCCGATGATCAAGAGGTTTTGCTTCTCCAATTACTTCTTAAAATTTCCGTTGTTAAAAGAAGTGGTCATTGAGCAATGCCCAAGAATGAACACCTTCTCAGCTGGGAGAGACACAAGCACACCAAAGCTTCGAAATATATCATCAAAAGAAGAAGATGGAAACGTGTATTGGGAAGGTGATCTGAATAAGACAATAAACAAGATGTTTACGGACAAGGTATGTTTTGATTTCGCTGGAAAACCATTCTTTATTCCCCTGATATACGATGAGAAGATGGTATGAACAAATTGTCAGAAAAGCCAATTGTTTATTAAAACGAAAAATGATTGTGAAAATATCTTTAATTTTTATTGTAAATATTTATTTTCATGATTGTATAGCTTTTATTAGCTTTTATTATTCACTTGTCCTTTTTCTTGGCGTATCTGTTTGGATATATCTTAACTATTAGATGAATTAAAAAAATTCAAACTTCTCGTGTAATCCAGAATCACATATTGGTGCCATTGCCATAAAAGCATTAACGAAATAAAGATGAGGCTGTGTTTAGGTTTGAGTTAGATATTTTTATCCTTTCTATTTCTGCCGGCATAACAGTTAGTTAATACTTTGAATGAATAGCATTAATTTTATTAACTGAAAGTAACAAAATGTTATTGTTTAATTTGCTTCGGTGCCCTTATTGTCTTTTCCCTTACCTTGATAATTATTTGCATGGGTGGCATTTAGTAGCTTCATTCTTTTGGAATTTTCTATATATCCAGAACTGAAAGAACTGTGGTATGGCCAAGATGGGCCAAATATATTCTGCAATTTGAAGCATCTAGTGGTGCGAAAATGTACATGCTTATCTAACATGATTTTTTCATCAAATTTACTGCGATTTTTATATACATTAGAGAAACTGGAAGTATCAGAGTGTGATTCATTAGAAGTGGTATTTGATGTACAAGCATTGGATGAGAAAGCAGTAGAATCAAAGGAAGTTAGTCGGTTGAAGAAATTCACACTCTCAGGGCTTCCAAATTCGAAATGTATATGGAACAGAGAAGCAGGAGAAATAATCAGCTTTGAAAATTTACAGATTATGAAAGTTGATAAATGCCAACACCTTAAATGTTTGTTTTCGGTCTCACTGTGCCAAGATTTGAGGCAACTTGAAGAGCTTCACATTGAGTCTTGTGGTGTTGAGGAAATTGTTTCAATTGAAGAAGGAGTCGAGGAACTCAAGTTTTATTTTCCTCGTTTAACATGCATAAGAGAAAAAAATCATTTCTTATTTTAAAAAAAAATCATTTTCCCCTGACATCCGATGAGAAAATGCTATAAATAAACTGTCAAAAAAGCCAATTGTTTGTGAAAAGAAAATCAGTGTGAGAATATCTTTAATTTTTGTTGTCAATTTGTTTCCTGATTTTATTGCTTTTATTCGTGTTTATTAGCCTTTATTCACTTGCCTTTTCCCTTTGGTGTATGTATTTGGATGTATGTTATTTTTTTAGGTCAATAAGAAATACAAATTTCCCAAATAAGTAGTAAAAGCATTAACAAAATGAAGAGGAGATTGTGTTTAGGTTTAAATTAGATATTTTTGTCCTTTCTTGTTTTTGCCATAATTTTGTTAGATTTTGTTCTAACGTAAGAGTCAGTTAATACTTTGAGTGGTATTAATTGTTGTAATAACTGAAAGTAGCAAAATGCTGTTGTTTAATTTGCTTCGATGCCCTTATTGTCTTTTCACTTACCTCGATATTCATCTGCATAGGTGGCATTTAGCAAATTCAAATATCTGGAGCTATCAGAATATCCAGAATTGAAACAGCTATGGTATGGTCAAGTTGGACAGCAAATATTCTGCAATTTGAAACGTCTGACAGTCCATAAATGTACATTTCTAACCAATGTAATTTTTACATCAAATTTACTGCAATTGCTATATACACTCGAAGAACTAAAAGTAACAGAGTGTGATTCATTAGAAGCAGTGTTTGATGTAAAAGTCTTGGATGACAAGGAAATGCATCCGAACAAAGCTAGTCAGTTGAAGAAGTTAACCCTCTCAGGTCTTCCAAATCTAAAATACATATGGACCAAAGACTTTCCAAAAGCACTCAGCCTTGAGAATTTACAAGTTGTGCATGTTGCTAAATGCCAAAACTTGAAATATGTGTTTTCACCATCACTATGCCAAGATTTGAGGCAGCTTGAAGAGCTACAAATTGAGTCTTGTGGTGTTGAGCAAATTGTTGCAAATGAAGAAGGATTGGAGGAGCTTAAGTTTTACTTTCCTCTGTTAAGAATCCTTAGGCTAGGATTTTTGACACAGCTTAATGATTTTTATCCTAAAAGATATACTCTAGAGTGCCCTTCATTGAAGATATTGAATGTTGCCCGATGTGAAGCATTGCAAATATTTGCATTTGGAAATTTGGACTCCCAGCAGCTTAGAGGGGCTTGTGTTGACTTGCCAGTCCAACAAGCTTTATTTCATATTGGAAAGGTATTCACCCTTTTTTCCAGTTATTTATCTGTTTTTATGTGGGGATATTATGCGTTAAATGTCAATATCAGTTATTATTGTATAGCCATTACTAGTATTGATTAGGCTTGATTACATTTTATTCCCGCTTGATGTATGTATAGTCCCTGTATCTCATATTAGTGGAATAAGAAAAACAGAATTCTCATATCATTGGAATTTAATTCTTTTTAAACAAAATGATGGTTGAGGCAATCTAATAAACACATACCATAATTATATATGTGATTAACAAATGCATACACTATATTTATACATGTGTTTTGCAAGGAAATCGGTTCTGTTAACTTGTTTTTTTTTTTTTTACTGGCCTGCTAACTTGTTAATTTACTATATGAGGACTAACTCGTTAATTTAGTATATGAGGAAATAAACACATTATTTTGTCCTTTTAGGTATCAGAAAACTTGGAGGAGTTATCATTAAATGAAAAGGATGCTATGAGGATATTGAATGAAAGTTATGGGGAAAAACTCTTCCAAAGAATAGAAATGCTTCGTCTGCAATATTTTCAGGAAACTCCAGTAAAATTTTTAAATGAATTGCTCGAAAGATTCCCAGGTGCAACAACACTTCAAGTGCGTTGGAGTTCTTTTGAAACACTTTTTCATACAGCAGAAATTGGTCATTTCAATATTAAAAAACCCACTCAAATCAAAAAATTGTGGCTATATCAATTGGAGCAACTTGAGCATATATGGAATGATGACTCAGCATCAAACACCCTTGTTCCACACCTTGAAAATCTGAGCATAAAAGAATGCTCTAGGTTAATAAGATTGGCACCACCTTTGACATCTTTCACAGCTTTAGCCACCTTGGCTATAAAGGATTGCAATGGCTTGATGTACTTCATGACAGCTTTCACTGCTAAAAGTCTTGTCCACCTCACAAGCTTAACAGTAGAAATTGTGGGATGCTAGAGGAGATTGTGATGACTAATGAAGCAGGATCAGAAGAAGAAATCATATTTGAAAGCTTGAAGGATTTGGAACTAACTTGTCTATCAGGTTTCAAAGGCTTTTGCTCTGGGAAACATACCTTCATATTCCCCTCTTTGGTGAAATTAAAAGTGACAGAATGCCACAAAATGCAAAATTTCTCATCTGGAACCATTATTGCCCCATTTCTGAAATTAGTAGAGGTGGAAAATGGGAGAAAACGCTGGAAAGGGGACCTTAACACTACTATCAAGCATTTGTTCACGGACAAGGTAAAAAGTAAATTCTAAGATGTTTGACACTCCTTTGATATTCTTGTTTTTTTACTTTTTTGTCTCAACTTACATCTATAAAATCAAAAGAACAAAATTTAGACAATACAGACGAATGAAGATATGGATACAAATATTAAAACTACATATGTATACATATGTATTTCTGTCAAGATATAATAATCATGTGTGCCTACCTTAATCAGGCAATTCGAGAAGGACAATCAAGTGATATTATAGAAAGTAGTCAAATTCATCAAATGACCAGAAGTACTTCTGAGGCATCAAGCTTTGAAGAGCAAGTGGGACAATCAAAGCCTAATCAGATTACAAACACTGGAAAGCAAGGAACACGCAAGCTTCCAAGTCAATCTCGCGACAGAGAGCAGAATGAACAAGCCTCGTCAGCTATGGAGAGGCCTCTGGCCCATGTTACTCAAAATGCCTCTAGCCCTTCTACAAATCAAGATACAGGTGTTGAGATTGTCTTGCATATTGCCATAAATAACCAATATTTCTTTAACTTTCGCCTTAATTTCTTTTAGAGGTTTGAGTGTCTTGGGTATTTATCACTATCACTATCCTTTGGTATATTTAGTGACTGATTCCTCTTGTTGAATAGAGTGCTTAGTGATACTTTGTTATACTCTTTTTTTGACCAAAACACTTTCTTATCATAGTCATTATCTTGATTAATGTTGTTTTTCTTTCTTTGAAATACTTTGAATTCTGATTTTTATAACCTGAAATCATCTCAAAGTAATTGACATGACCAGAAAACTTCTCTCAGTGCCAAATTGTTTAATCAAATCACCACCTTTATTATTAGCCACGCAGAGAACATAATACCTTTCTTTCACATGTAAGAAGGAAGAAATTTATTATTATTATTTTTTCAAAAACCTCACGCAGTTCTATATTAAATTTATCACTTATTTAGTTATTGACACTTACAAGATGTGTGAAAATCATCTAGATGTAGGTTTTGACCTTATTACAGTACTCTTATTTTGTTTATTTGAAAGGAAGGCAAGTCATTATACTTTGCTCGAAGCAAAGGTTTTAATCTTTTTTATTAATTAATGATTCTAATGTGCTATATATTATGGGAACTGAAAATCACTAGAAGAATCACAAGACGCGGAGACTGAATCTAGCATGAGTCTGTCAAGGCCAGCCACAACTTTCAACGATAAAGAAAGTAATTTTTTTCTTACTTTCTTTTGTTTTCTTTTTGTGTCCGTTTTGCAGTTATCAGAAGTAATATAATTTTATTTTGTTAAAATTCTGGATCATTTGTATTTACTTTGAAACTAATAGGTTTAGCTGAGGGGACTCAAGGGATTGGTGAGAACATTGAAAGGCCATTGGTTGAAGCTGCTAAAATTGCTCCTAGCCCCACAGGAGTTTATGATGCAGGTACTGGTATTGTTTTTAGCATGTGAGAGATTATCTAAATTACTTTCTTATAGGGTAATGCATGTTCATTATAGCAGTTGGATTATTAATTTTCCCTACTTTCTTATATGTGAATTGAGATATATTAGAGAAATCACAACTTTTGGTTAAAAAAAAAAACAGAGAGAGAGAGAGAAATCACGACTTGTAGAGAAATTCATCCAAGTGAAAATTTGATCATCCGGACCACCTTTTTTCTACAGAAAGTTCAACAACAAATTTTTATTTCGCTGATCATAGTTTTAATATTTTTTTATTTATTTGGAGAAATGATTCTTACTTGTTATTATGGGAAATAAAACCAGCTACAGAAGAATACTGACTTAATAGTCCCCATTTGGTGGGAATTTGATTAATTAGATCTTGACCATCATTATTGCTGCTCACAAAAGAGGAAGTTACCACTTCTTTCGCATATAGAGGGAAGGAAATTATTTTTATTTTGTTAAAGTCTCATGAAAACTATTTTAGACTTAATTTTATGTTTTAATTTATTCACCTAGTGCCAGGACTAAATTAATACTTTGTCATCTTAACTTTGTCGCAAATGGCCTTAAACGAATTTTTTGTGTTATAAATGACGTTGTTGCAGCATTCCCTTGCTTAATTAACTACCATAACCTTCTACTATGCCAACGCAAATTTACCAGAGAAGAAGGCCTCAAAATGACTTGTCTTTTAACTTTTGGAAGCATTTTTTACGTTTTCTTTACAACATTTTATGTCTTGCTTGTTTGGCTTTTGACTCCAGAGGTGAATGAGACTGTTGAGAAGCCCTTAATTCAAACTATCCAGAAAGCACAGAGACCAACCACAGTACAGGACATAGGTTCTCATTTTGTTCTGATTGATGTTTGTTTGATACTCTTGCTTAATTGATTAATGATTTTGACTTCCTATCATGTTAACTGAAATATTGCTAGAAGGACCACATGAGTCAAAACTTGTCCCAGAGAGCATTTGTTCAACCAACCTGAAACCTTTATAACTAGTGACGACAAAGAAAGTAATGGATTTATTTCTCTTCAGAAAGAAGTAATTTATTTTTATTTTGAAAAAACTCTTGTCTCATAATTTTTTTATTGTTCTTTAAGCTATTGGAACTCACGAGATTCATGACACCATGGACAAATTCTTGATTCAGACTGACCAAGATGCAGATAAACTTGTCACAGCACAAAACAAAGGTTCATATCCTGTTTTGTATCTTTTTTTTTTTTTTTTGGGTAATGTTCTTTGGATGAACTGATAAATCTATCACGGTGTTAATAAAAATCTACTACAAGACATGATTCATATATTGAGCCTCAAAAGATATGTAACACATCAAGAAGCCTTCTAGTCCTACAACTCAAAACATAGGCATTGTTTTGCAAGATCCAGCTAACTTAACATAGATTGATGTTTATTTTAGCAAGAGAATATTCTATTTTATTTTTCCAAGACTTGACTTATTCTATTTTTTAATTTCAAGCAGCAATAGATCCATCACCTTCAAAAGCTCCAGGAACTATGACTTCACCAATACTGGAATTGAATGCTTATAGTGACAGATGGTTGATTGACATTTCCAAACAAAACTTGCCATATTTGGAGGCTGGGTTGAAGCGTCATCCTCAAGTGCTTGATTGGTTCAATACAAAGCGACGAAGAGCATTCGCAGCCTTATTCACCGAAGTCACTAGCATTTTGAGGACTACTAGGAGACGCGACTTGACAGAGGATGATCGAAACTATATCAGAGAGTGCTGTACTGCATTGGAAGCAGTTGGTTTTGATGCTTCTTGGCTCAGTTATGTATATGGCTGCATTGAGAGCTATGGTGATGGAGATGAGCTCATGAGAAAGCTTGAGGAGACTGAAGCCAAAGTTTTCACTCTTAGAAATGAGTTAGCTTCTGCTGAGGCATCCTTAGTCTCATTGCGAGACGAGGCAAGCAGGCTCAATGATTTTATTGAGTCATGAAGTCCACTCATAGATCTCATTGCTTGACTGGCTTAATACAAGACATTAAAAAGTATTTGCTTCCTCTTCTTAGTGTTGTTGCTTGACAATTTCATTTTCAGCACTATATATTTACTTTTGTATGTTGCTTTTGTGGTTTGTCTAATGCACATTAATAATAATCTGTCATTTGTTTTTATCTGATGCAGCAGTTCTGTATGTTAAGTATTGTAGCACAAAGTGTGTTTTCATTTGGCACCAAAGAACAACAACAGAAAATTAAGATTTATTTAAAAAAAAAAAAGGAGAATCATGGACAACTTCTATGACATGAACTTTCATCAGATGTCTCGTATTCCCCAGCCAAATCAATAAGTCAACAATCTTATATGAAAGCTGAAATAGTTATGCATGACTCGTTTCCAGTTAAAATACGTGGACAAGAAAATGTGAAAGATGATTACACTACCAAAATGGGACTTGCGTCCATGACATTGTGTAAGGGAAAAAAAAATGTATTGGCATTTTCAGTGCCTCTGCCACAAGTAGAATTGCCTTTCATACCTTCCCAATCACAAACGGGGATTTGAATAAAAATAAAAACCAATGGGGCTAACAGTCAATGTAGAATATCTGGTCAGTTTTCATACACTTTAAAGAAGGAATTGCGTGCGAAAAACTTGGACTGGTATTTGAAGATCATGATGACATTTGATTCTTTGAAGAAACTCACCCTATATGGATCCAGCTGGTTGCTCTCCACGGGACACAGGATGTGGAAATTCACTAGTAGGTCTCAAGGAAGAAGACTGATGCAGATTCAAATGTACCGCAAAACAATACTAATAAACAACTTTTTCTTTAAAAAAAAACAAGGATAAAATTTTGTAGACTAGAAAATGTTAAAGAAGTAAGATTACATTGCCAAGATGAGACTTGCGTCCGTGACATTGTGAAAGGAAAGGCATCGATATGACCTAAAATTGAACGTTGCATTGTTCATCATTGAAGTACTCTATATGATAAACAGATGTGTACCTGACTAGCACAATTGCAAGAAGTATAAGATATCATATCATTACATTACAGAAAGACAAAATTTATTAGTGAAGTATTTTTCTCTGAAAAGTTTGAAAACAAGTAAAATTGCCCTTCATACCTTCTCAATATCAAAAGGGATAGTGCATAAAAATCAAAATCCATGGGGCTAACGGTCATTGTAGAATATCTAGTCAGTTGTCATATACTTTGTAGAAGGAATAGTGCGTGAAAAACTTGGATTGGTATTTGAAGATCATGGTGACTTCTTGATTCTTTGAAGAAAGCATTTTTAGATCTTTTCCCAGTTCATAATTACATTTTTCTGTCAACCATTAAGGATATTTACACCAACTTCCTGTAACCCAGGCGAGATAGCTGCACCGGCTTGTATCCAGTGGAAACTAGAATTACAGTGTAACATAGAATATGAAAAGTTGCTGGTAAAAAAAAAAAAAAGAATATGAAAGAGTTACCCAATTAAGAGATTTAAATAACTTAGTAAAGTCTTGTGAGCTAAGAAAATAGTTAACATAACTAACGCAAAGAGTAAGGGACATAAATATCTTTCTGTGATTATAGTCCAAATAGATGCTAAGGAGTCTGTGTTGTGTAATCATTGAGTCCTTCAATTATCCATTTTGTTTCATTCCTTTCCTCCATTTTCTCTAACGAACATATTAGAGGGACAACATGAGAGGAAAATTAAATTGCACAAATTTGACCCATCATATCAAAATGTTACTGACAAAAGAAAAAACATGCCGTATATGCTGGGGGATTCACAATAATTGCATCAGCAATGCTATAATTTATGTCAGGTTCTTTACAAGCTGGAGGCAGAGAGTCAATTTTTTCTTTGATTTGATTTCACTGTTTCTAGTTTTTAATACAAAAACTAGTTGAATTGATTCTAAATATAAGAACTCAATCCGCTTATCAAATTTATCATATTTTTTCTAAAATATCCTTATTGATTATAAATATTTTATCAAAAGATAGTTTCAATACATATTGGTTTACGGGGTTTAATACACATTTGTTATAATTAACTAATTTAGCTATTTTTTTAATATTTTCAAATTAGTTATTTAGATCTTATATTAAGGATCGGAGATAGTATCTCAGAAGGTCCTGAAGGCAAGAAGCCATTTTTTTTAACTATATTTGCCCCAAAAAGAATTTAAAAGTTAATATGTAAAATCAAAATAATAATAGTTATTAAATTCCAATACCTGATTTGAAAATATTTTAGGACCATTTCATTGGAACAAGCTTCTTTCAAGTTGCAGATTTGAAAGGAAACTAAGATAAAAAGTTTAATTATATTTTTAAAAAATTAATGTTATAAACTACTTTCATAATTTCATTACAACTCAATTTTTCCAACTTAGATCCAAACATGCCCTTAATTTTTCTTGCAGTCAAGAAAAATAATAAAAGAACTGAATAAAATCAGCATCGATCTCTAAAATATCTACGCACAGAGAAGAGAACAACTGAAACTGTGATTCAATTATAGATAATAGGTTACGAGATGTGAGCTGCACAAACATCTATGTACAGAAAACAAACTTGATCATTATTCAACCAAATCATTGGAATGATCATTAATTTATGACTTACTTATTACTCCCTTCCATCTTATATATCCTTACAAATAATGTAGATTAAAAAATTGGTGGAAATTTTTTAGAAACAATAAATGTATAAAAGAAAATATAATCGTTTTTCAGACATACTCTAAAAAATAGATTAAATTCGTAAATAAAAATAAATCATATCTTATAAAAAAAAGAATCAATTGTAATTTATATTTACTATGAGGGCAATAAATCTGTATCTTCACTAGTTTACTCTCTCTCTATATATCTTTTTTTTTTTTGGTATACTCTCTATATATCTTTTCTAGTTAGAGAGACAAATAATCTAGGCCTCTATATAGAGCCTATATCCTAGCTTTCTTAAAACCCAACCTAGATTATTTAGTAAATAGACCAGGTTCATATTTAGGTCTATTTTCATGTATATTTAGACAAATAAGTCAGACCTATTTTCATAAGGCCTAACCTAAAAGCTTACATGTCTGACCTATTTAATTATTTTTAATTTGCACTATTATATATAATACAATACAAATCAATTTTATAAATTATTTATAAAATTATTAATTTTGGCTTTATCCTGGGGTTGACACCATAATATTCATACATAAGATCAACCCTTTATTTATCAATCATTCACGACTACATCTCTTCTATTTTATCACTGACAAAGGTATTGCTAGCTTACTCACTCTCCCATTACATGCGTTATTCGCTGAAGCATAAGAATTGTTGGAAGTTTATGTTAGTAAGGCTTAAATGAAATATTATAATTTTAGTAGGAAGAATTTGCCATAGTTTCGGTGCTAAACCCGAAGAAGGTAAAATCCAATTTTTCATTCCACTTGCTATGTTTGGTTGCTTTTAGGAAATATATCTTTAATCAAGAGATGATTAGTTTTTCTTATTCTTAGTTGCTGGGATAACTGTTTTTATTATTCTTTGTTTTTTTCCTTTATTAAGTTCTTATATTATAAGTGAGAATAGATTCTAGACTTTTAAAACATAATCTAGTTTTCTAAATAGGTTTAAAGACTTATTTATGAACTTAGAAGTATAGACAATTTAAAGTTTATTTCAGACTTTTTGAAGACTCAAGTTCAAGTCAAAAAAAAGCCTATATACATATTTAGACTCAGGATTAGGCTTTAGATATCTATAATAACCTAAGTCTGTTTAGCTAAAGCCTGTATTAGTATCGCCTATTTTCATCCCTACCAACCATA